TATGTTCAAGTCCGACACTGTCCGTTCTCTTCTGCTTCTGAAGGTTTTCAAACGAAATCACCGATATGCGATGCCGATTGATACCGATACTTGGAGCCGGCACTAGGTCGCTATCTTCACGTGGGGGGTTGGACGGTACGCTTCTTCGCAATGTGCTCAAGCGCGCAGCAGCCCTCGCGGACAGTTTCCTCTTCCAAGTGAAATTGATAGGCGCCGCGCGGTTGATCGCGGGAAGTGGATTCAAAACACGGCCTCCTAGGAGGACTTGTCGTCGGGCAGAGATCGGGTTTTGAGACCTTGGGCTGACAGCCTCACGCATCCGAGTTCCACTGAGTTGTGCGTTACTATGAAGTGTGGTTGACATATGAATCCACCGCTTTATTTAAAGATGATGCCTAGATCATAGCAATCATCCCAGCCGCAGGGCACCCCGGGAATGAGGTCAACTGCTGGTTCTGTCACCATGGAGGCCTTGTTGGAGCTAGACAGCTTGGGCTTGATGATGTGAGAGGGAAATAGGGGACTTGTGTTGGTTGGTTCGGGCTGGCGTGCTTTTGCTTGCAGATGTCTTGGTTGATGTCACTCACTGAGACTAACCTTGCTGACCAAGGGACGTTATCCAACGGGAAGGCACCAAACACAATACGAGACATATAACATCATCAACAAATTGTCTAAAAACTTTGTAGTCAGCCCCTATTAAGCTAGTCACATTGCTTTTTTGAGATAGCCACGATCGCCTCCGCTGCAAGGAGTTGGTTACACTGCGCGACTAACATACCACAACACCTGGACGGGAGCCGCGTCCGATATGTCACCCGTATTATGCCCCCAAGCTCGCATGCATCATGCAGGCAACATGCAGCTCGTCTCAAGTGACGACCGTTTGCTCTTACCCGTTCCGTCGACAGTCGCCTCAATTGACTGATGGTCAAGGAGGAGGATGACTCTGAGGAGGAAGAGGAAGAAAAGGAGCCCACACCTGAACCTGACAGGCCGCTTGCTAGAGCCACCGAGGGCAGGGCGCGCGCCGAGTGGACGGGCACCATGGGCTTCACCTCCGACGGTTTCCCCTTCGTCGGGCGGGTGCCTGGCGAGGACGGGTTGTGGGTGTGCGCGGCGTTCCGGGGCCACGGGATGGTGATGTGCTGGAAGAGAGCTATGGCGTCTTGCTTGTTTGATTATGGATATAGATCCTGAGAGTGGCCCTCGGGTGAGTGAATCTGTAAATATTTAGGAGCTACCGTGGGTCCAATTCGGGTACGAGGATGCAGCGAGCTGGGCGGGCAGAGTCATGGCCTTGCATGCCAGGGTTGCTGATTCGAGAAAGGGCATTGCACCCTTTTCGGAGAAGAGAAAGCCTTCGTGGAAGACATAAGCTCTCCGGGCCCAGAGATTGTAGGTGACACAAAGCGGCGGCGAGGCCGGATAACCCAGACACAGGATGCCTGTTCCTAGACGAATTGCACTTTCCTTCCTTAGGATCAAGCTCAGTGGCCATGAGTTCACTGATTAGCCCGCTGGATGGTGAGGCTGAAGTTGCCGTCTTTCTGCGATCAGCACCAGAACCAATCACAAAAAGCGAAGGTCTCAGCACCATCATCGCTGTGCGACCGAAGCTATCCTAGCCTACGAGGCTTCATCGCTTCACTCTATCGGCGGATGCGAGCCATTGTGTCGGTGTTGGCCGGTTAGGGGTACGCGTGGAAGGCTGCGGCAAAGTCTCTCCCGCGGATGGAAGTCGGATTCGTCAACCGTAAAGTCACCATCTCGTTAGGGTGATTCTTCATCTAGCGGCTGACCTCTAGCAAGAAGTCCTCCAACTTTCCCACATCAAGAAGCCAAGAAAAGGAAAACAAGAACACACACAGAAACCAAAGTCAAATGATGTCAGAGTTCTGGAACTTACCGACGACACTACCAAATCTTCCCATCGCACTCCCAGTGGCTGGTCGTCGGCCAAGACCCAAGGACGAGACTGCGGTCAGTGTCGTAGGCTCAGCTGACGAGGGGTATGATGATAAACTCTGCAGCGAAGCTGGCCTTTGCCTTCGGGGACTCCACCTTCTCATTGCTTGAAGGCAGAAGCTTCTCATCCTCCTCCGCATCGGCGAGCATCTTCTCGCCGGGCCCTGCAGGACCCGCCGCCGGTCCGTTCATCCACGCCGGCGACGACAGCGACTTCTTCCATCCTCACCCTCACCCTTGCCCCCATCATCATCCTCATCATCACCACCACCGCCAAGAACCCCGCTGAATTGTTTCCAGTCCTGCCTTGACTCCTCTGCCCCTGCAAAAAGCGTTCTTGTGCTGTCTTCAGTCCCAAAATATTGTCTTGGCCACATAGCGAGCCATGATGTTCTGGAATCTGGGGATTTGAGATAGAAGAACGCGCCGGCTCACAAGCGCTGGAGCTTGTTGGTAGGTAGGTAAGCTTTTTAAGGCAGCTAGCCTAGAGGAAGCGCCTCTGCTGTCTATACGTGCCGCGTCGCCCCTGATCCTCGTCGTACCGGCAGGCTGACTTCCCCTCCTGGTCCGTCCGGCCGAGAAGCGCGAGCCGTGTCTGAATATAAGCGAAAGAGACTTACAAGACCAGACAGGAGGTAGGTAGGTACCTTAGGCAAGTTAGGTAGTGCGAGGCTCCCGTCTCAGCAGATGCACCGGCCCTGTAGGCTGAAGGTATGGAGTGGCTTACCGTCCCCTTCTCCGCCGGCCGTGTCGACGCCACCCATGAGCAGACCGACGTCCGCGCCTTCGGCTACCTCGAGCCCCAGGCCGAAAGCTTCCGCAACTACGCCCCGCGGCACCGCGCGCGCGAGCGATTGGTAACTGTACGTATGAGAAGACTCTCTTGACACTTCAGTCAGCCTTGGTGACAAGGTTATTGGCAATCACTCCCGTTTAAGCCTTGGTCAATGTCCCAGTTGAGCGCCCTCCTACCAGTATACGCGGCCGCCGAGAGTGCCGCCCTCGGGCTGGTTCATGCCGGGACCGGCGACAGCGACCTTACTCAGAAACGGCCCGGCCCGGAGGGGGAAGGTTCTATGGCATCGCACAACACGAAGCACAGCACTCAACTACGCGTTGCATGATGTTCCAACGACACTTCTACTCACCATAAGCCGAAGCAGACGTCCGCAGCAAAGCACAGTCACCAGACAACTCTGAAGCTGTGCCTTTATTGGATGTGCTTCTAAAGTAAACTCATGTTGCGTGGCGGCCATTCTGAAGAGTGGTGCGGTGCATTCAAGATGAATGCCTGCCCTCTGGTTGCTGGCGTGCTCTCTGGTTGCTGGCTTATATTCTGCTTCTCATGCCAGGGTAGGGCAGAGAGAAGACTCAAATGAGAGCCCCTTGCAGAGGAGTACGTCAGCAGACATCACACATCCTAAGCCACACTCCATCCTCAAAGGGATATGCCGCCTAATGAGAAGGGTGCGCCGCGGAGCGCGGCACTTATTTCCAACAGAGCCCCAGTGTTTACCGCGAAGATATCTCTCCTCTACGTTTCAGCCCTTATCCGGTGCAACTAGACTGTAGTACATAGGCGTACGGGGTAATATCCAACCAGCTCACACGCAGAGAGATCGGCACTTTTTTCTGCCGAATAACAAGTTTCGTGGGTGACCAGAATTAGAGACATACTGGAGCTTCAAGTACTGCAGTCCACGCACATTCCATGAAATACAGTTCCGGAGACCATCCCGCATCGAACGTGTCTTGCCCAGCCCTTCGGTACTGTCGCAAGAACAGACGCAAGCTAGTACCTTCGCGAAGGATGCTGCTGCTGCCACCTTATCTCGACGCCAGCAAGCAAGCGGTGATTCGAAATCTATGGAAAGCTCTACCCTCGAACTCATCATGAGCGTTCGCACTTCCCATCCTTGGCGAACTTTACGCTCGGGAAAGAGGTCTGATGATCAACCTTGATGGAAAGCAGGGATACCGCCTCTTTTCTCCAGAGCAATGTCGTCATATGAGGCATCCCACATTTCGACATTCGCATCCTATGTCTCCAACAACACTATGTGCGATGTCTTTCCAGCTTTCTGTTTCTTCACACGTCAATGGAACTCAGCACCAGCTTGACTTCCCGGTGTGGTCGTTCTCATTCGGCTAACTCCCCCGCTCGCTGGGTTGTCCAGCAATGGCGAACCAGCTACAGCAATAAGAGGCGTCGAGCAACAGGCGTCGAGTAAGCACCGAGAGTGACGTTCCACTCAAGCTATCCCGTCAGCCAAGTCCAACGAATGGGATCACATAGCCCGTATTTCTGATGGCCGCCCCGGCGCGCTCATGTCAGCTTGGGACATGCAACCTTCCATTGGCCACGATACAGCAGGCAGAATGAGGGGTGAAAGGAGAGAGCGCCATATATCAACGCCGGAACGACCGCATCGCCATGCCAATCCCATCTCGGCGACCAGCCAAGCTGCAGCTCCTCGTCTCTCACCAACATGGACGCCATAGGCACAGTCACTTCAGCCATTGAACTCTGCAAGATCACGAAGGACTTGATTGAGAAGTACGCCAATGCAGGGCAGGGTGTCACACAGCTCAGGGCCGAGCGCAATTGGACGGAGCGGCTCTGCGTGGCCTTAAAGGAGCTCATTCTGAAAAACCCGAACATGGAACGGGATACGAATAGCTCCGATGTAGAGCTGCTAGGGAGTTTTATAGACACAGCAACGGATATCGAATCGACGCTTCAGATACTCGAGAAGAAGCTCAGAGGAGTCAACATTGACGCAAGCGACAAGGTATGGCAAAAGACATACATTAGGGCATACTGGGTCTTCAACGAAGGATTCTTCAAGGACACGATGCAGAGCCTCAGAAACCAGAGAGAAATGATGAACTCTGTCGTCATGGCGCTTAATTTGTAAGTATTTTCGAGAGAGGATCTCGAATCCGTCATTCGCAACTCACTATAACTCCACACTAGGCGGCAATCACTACACGTGACGGGCATCTTGAAACCACCTCGATCTTCGAGTCCTATGCCTCCCAAGGATGACTTGAAACCATATCATAAGAAGCCAGGAGAACGAGATTCACGGTCCTACGCTGAGGATCTGTTGAAGGCCGTCAAGAGCGACAGTTATAATACTGTGAACGAGGTGCTGGCACGCAAGGGCCCTATCAACGTAGCTCTCGAGAATCGCGACCGAGCAGTCCACATTGCCGCTCGCGAAGGCTTTTTGTCAATCCTCGAGAGGCTTCTCGCCCTCGGCGCTGACGTGCACATCGCAAATAACGTTCAGGACACACCATTATATGCAGCTCTCAAGGCTGGACAGACAGAAACAGCCATGGCTTTGCTCTTACAGGGCGCCGGCTGGAAAGATCTGAACGATGACGGGTTCAATGCATTGCACCTCGCGGTTCTGCACTCGGCGAACGTCGTCGTCCGCTACTTGCTTCGCAAAGGGGCTGACCCGACGCAGCCGGACTCAAAAGGCCGAACACCGGTAAAACTAGCCTGGCACCCTTTAGGGAAGGACGGGAAGAAGGGCACAGTGGACATAGACATCATGCGAGCCTTGGTAGATCACGGGGCCAGCCCGATCCCGACGGACGAGAGAGGAAGGACCCTAGTTCATCTTGCCGTCAAGGAGAAGCGACCGGGCTTTGTAAGGCTGCTCGATTCCAAGTCTGCTGATATGAACGCCAAGGCCAACGACAAGAGTACACCACTACAAATCAGCATAAACTCGAACAATCTACCAATGACCCGCCTGTTGCTCGAACTCGGGGCAAACGCCAATGGTAAGAGTGCACATTCCGGCTCACCCCTCATGTTCGCCGCCCAGAGAGGTTCGTTGCCAATCATGCGCCTCCTGCTCGACCGCGGCGCCCAGAAGTTCTACAACACACCTCAAGAGACCAACGCCTTCATATGGGCCTGTAACGGCGGGCATATTTCCTGCGCCAGCTTCTTGCTCGGTTGTGGGTATTGGCCGCACAAAAGGGCAGCTGGGGACTACACAGCGCTCCACTACGCGGCTGGAAAGGGCCACATGGAGGTGGTAAAGTGGTTGTTGCAGCTGAGCGTCGACAAGAATATCAGAACAAAGATCGCCAGGGTGCCGTTCAAGGTTGCCGGGACGGCTGCAGAGCTTGCCAGGGCACATGGGCATAGCAAGGTTGCCGAGGTCATCGAGGCCTTTGTGGAGGAGCAGGTGTACTAGTCGTTGCATCAATAAGCCTGTTGCCGTAAACAGGTAGGTTATCTCTGAAGTATGAAGATAGCAGACGCAGTTTGTTTGAAATCGGTTTCCATAGGCTAGTTGCTCTCCACGATCGCGCAGAATCTAATTTATCCACTAATTGAAAGTCGTGCCATGAAGCAAGATGGCGATCATTTATAACTTTGGATTGCTGCGAATCTCACAACTATGTGAAATAAGTGTCGGCATCACCATAGGTGTCTCAAAGACGTGCTGACGAAAGCTACGGCTGACCTGAATATACGTGTCCATAGGTTCAACCTTTGCATGTCGACTTTTGACAACCGACTAATCGTCTACTCTTGAGTCTTGAGTGTTTTCAAATGCGGATTTCCGAGTAAAGACGCGGGCTAATTGGATAATCGTGAAGTTGTAGGTTTCGCAAAACTGCAACGGTGAAGGTCAGAATACTACCTTACCGCAGACATTAGAACAGGGTCAACGCCAGTAGTCCCAACGAGCATGGTCTTCATACTAAATTACCCTAACATGAGAGGGAAAGAGGAAGAGTATCTGTATATACATATGCCGAGAACTTGCCGTTATGCGGAATAACAAAAACAGACAAGAAAAAACAAAACAATGGGCGGCCACCGGAGATATGTAGAGCCACCTAAGAACTCGAACCCTCGAGTTGTGCCGAAACCAGACACACAATCCACCGCTAGGCTATCTTGCGACGGTGGTCGCACCCATTGTTGCGGAATCTGGAAGGTGAGGTTGACTATGAGGGAAGGAGCAATTACTCCAGCGGGCCTGTGTCGCGACTTTGACGTTATAGTACCGCAGTTGCTCCTTCCACGAGACGTCACAACTGATTTGCGCCAGTACACAGCACAATTTAGGCATATAGCTAGCAAACTGCTGAAATTACGGATTTCCACTTATCTATGTTTTCCTCTATGTGAAGAGTATCCTTTGCGCCTAGAGTCCTCATCGTATGAAATTCTCATAGTAATCTCTGTCACTATCTATGATAAGTCTTGCTGCCTCTGTCCCGGTACTGCTGCTTCTCAAATACCTCTTCTTACCTGACCCCACGATGAATACTGTTCTATGATTGAGTGTGATATGATTAGGTCGTCTCTATCATTGCAGTTGTCGCCGTCGTCTTTGTCGTTTTCCTCTTCCTCGGGCAGCCCGGCTGTCTTGAGCACCTCCCTCACTTCTGTCAACAATATCTCCTGCATCACAACCAATAACTATCCTAAGCAAGTACGTGGTTGTACTCATCGCATTGCCAGAATTTCGTCTTTAGGTCACCATTCTCAGTTTAGTTGCGCTTGAACTACGTCTCTAAGTCTATGGGGCTGTAGGTTTACAATTCAAAAAACCTGGCTCGTCTCATATTTGAAGCAACACAGGCAAACACGCCCGGACAGCCTGCCACATCGCAAGCATCAAGAGGCTCGTATGGAGTTGAAAGTCGGTCAGTCAGACAACTTGGTTGTTGGCTGTGGGGGAGTCTTTCACGGGATCCACTAGACTTTGACAACTCCATCTGAGCCATCAACAACCCCGAGAAACTCCCGGTGACATATGCAGCGACATGAATCGCTTGCTGAGCCTAGAGCAGACTAGCAACGCATTTATCGGGCTGTATCCTTCCTGGAACATTGCCAGTTGACCGCTCACTGGTTTATGAGCGACTGTTTCTTACCCCGAATCGTACCTGTACTATTTCTGGCCCATTCGAACCGGCAAAGTTAAGATTCGAGGCCAAGTGCGTTCCATGTTGCTCAGTTATGGAGGGGAAAACCGCAAACAAAAATCGGTCGATTCAGTAAAACAAAAAATCACCTGCCGATACGTCAAATTCAGAAACATCGCACGATGCACCGGAATGCATTAGCTTCGATGGCGGACATTCAACTACTGCGGGTTGCTGCAGAGTAGTAGTAATGGGTGCGCAATTGTAGAGCGGTTCCGACTGCCGGCGACGCCGGAGCGGCATCCCTCCACCCTCCACCACAGATCCGTCCGAACTAAGGGCAGCGTCCCCGGTGCTGGAAGGACGGAAACCGGCCAATACCTCTGCCCCCCCGAGAGGATGCACCCTCCAGAACCCGGTGCCTGCTCCCTTCGCGACGGCAAAGTGTAGGGCTGTCTGAGTTCACTCGGCAATCCCAAGGACGTTTGTAAGACAGAGGGGACAGTCGGCCTGGAGGCATTTCGTCATGGCACAGTGTCTCAAGAGCGGCAGTGGAGAAGACTGCACCGAAGGGTGCATGGCATGACGTTCGTTTCTTCCAGAAGTTCGTAGGAATCGGGCCGGCAAGGGAGGCGCGTGGAGGGCGCCAACCTACCAGCGGGCGTGGGCATGCTGCAGGTTGTGTGTTGAAGGAGTGCGGGTGGTCCAGGCGGTGCGCCCACTGTCGGTCGCTGGATTGGGGCACACTGGTCGAGCGGGTATGGAGGTTTGGCTTGGAGCCAAGGTGCGCCATGAGCGAAGCACACTGAGAATAGCCCGAACGGCGGAGGAAGGTGGCTGTTTGTCCCTCGGTCCTCGTTTCCCGAAGGCTGTCTATTCTTATTGACTCCTGCGGTAAAATCTGCCTTGTTTGTCCGCCGCCAACGGTAAGAATGACGCGGGGCATTGGTCAAAAAATTGCTTGGCCATGGATGATACTTGTCTGGCCGCGGAGTTGTTGAGGAGCTGACGGTCTGCCACAGAGTTACTGGGTACAAGCCATGAAGAATCCGTTTCGATCGGACATGGATGCGACCAAGAGGCACCGAGGAGAGCACTGATGATTGGTAGGGATGCAATGGGCTCGCAACGTGAGAGCGCTCGCGAGCGGATATCCCCCGCATGGATGCTAGCCGGCAACAATAGCGTTCCCCAGGCCTGGTGGGAGGGACATGCTAGGACAAGGGGAGGCGAGCATCAACAGATCGACGGCGTCTCTCTCCACTGTTGGAGGGTTGTGAAAAGCAGTCAGCGTGTCGAAAGATGGGAAAAGACGGGAGGGATGCCTTAAGATGGGCCGAATAAGTGCGGGAGGTGAATTCAGCGAATGGGCTCGGGACCAGCAGCGTGGATGAGGGTCACAGCGGCGTTGCCTTTGGGCAGTTGGAGACGAAATCGAACCAGTAGCGTTGAGCAGTTTGTCTCTTCGTGCCAACCTCGATGCAACATGTCGTTGGCGGTGGCCGCACCGCACCAAGGGATCCAACCGGGCGGAGAGCCAGTGGACGGCCTGGGGTCATGGTGTGGGCTGGCCTGACCTGTGACCACCCCGGGATGGGGGTTTGGTTTTGGAATAACTGAAGCTCATTGGTGTGAGCCGGCCGTCGGTTGTTGCAGTGAATCTGCTATCTTCAGGTAAGGCGGGTTTGGTTGCGTTACGTTGCGTCGACTTTGCAACTCGCAACCCTGAAATACTGCACATTGAGAGGGGTCTCCGTCTGTGAGAACGAGAAGCCACTGCGTGCCATTCCGGGCCATGCCATGCCCTGTTGCCAGGCGCACGGCCTGCGGCGGCAACCCACACGAAGGGTAACGGGGAAAGAAAAGGATAGGAGCCCGACCGAAAGAACGGTGAAATCGGGGTTAGCTGGCCAAGCACATAGTGGCTGCTTTTTGTGTCGAGCGGCAGTCGCAGAGTGCCCGTCCTGGACGATGTCTGTCTCATCGATCGTCGTTCACATCGGGGCCTGCAACACCAACGACTCAGGGCGTTCGCTTTTTTGTCCGGGGTGTGGAGAGAAGTGCGGAGTGGACGTCGGCAGCTAGAATGTTAGGCTTGACCTGTCGGTTGGTGATAGTGTGCATGCTACGGGTTGTGAAAGCCACCGGGTGTTTTTTCCCACCAAATAGAAGAGTGAGGGGAACGCCATCGTGCCCGATTGAGTAGTCGGGCGTGTGCAAGGCGGGCGGGCTGGCTCCAACGGAGAGGGCTAGCTGACACCTTACTCTACGCTCTGCGTGTCTGCGTAGCAGATTCAGCGGGTACGAAGTGAAAAGCCAACGTCGGAAGGCGAGAGATAAAGTCGAAGCAGCATGGCAGTCGGATTGACCAACAACGATGGCCGTATTAGCGCGGTTATCCTTGATAGATGGTGTTTTGGGGTTTGGATGGTGAGTTCAGCAGAGTTCCAGGTATGACCCCACGACCCAGAGACAGGCCGGGATGGCGTCCCTCTAGTTGATCCAGGGCCGTTTGTTTTCGATAATTCTCTTTATGGTAGGCTTGCCGACCGGTTCTGGCCCCCACGTAGCGTAGGAGGTGCTTCGTGCTTCGGCGGGTTGCTGTGCCGTACGCAGCAAAGGACTGCTGGTCCTAGGAGAGGTCATAGCGAAGAGTGAAGGGTGGACAGTCGTCTGTAGTCAGGCCTTAGGGGTCATGGCCGTGACCTGCCCGTTGACGTAAAAAGTCAAAGAAAAGACAGTGATAGACGCAGATCAGCCAGCGTCAATGGATGGAAGTAGGTTGAATGGGGTTAATAAGAGCAAGCTTCCTTCCGGCTAAGTAGCAGAGGGTATGTTGGTGTCGGGCTCCCATGAGCCACGGCATGGATGGGAGTGAGTGCGAGGGTGTGGAGGGGATTTGACAAGCTTAGGCGAGGCGAGGCGAGGCGAGACACAAGAGACATCCATGGACGATGGACTGTAGCTGTGTTGCCCAGCCAGTCAGAGGTAGCGCTTGAACGGTCCGTCGTGTCGGAGACGGAGGCGGCGAATGGTAGCCGACCCGAAAGACGGGGCCGCTGTATTTCCTGCGGTTGTGGTCGGTCGCAGAGACGGACATCTGGAGTAGTTTCGCGGTATCAATTGCAGGTGCGGATGAGAGAGGTCCCTCGTCTCACAGATGGGGCCACTTGCGTAGACCGGAGATAGGCAGCGTAGGACCTGTCCTAACAGCGCGGGATACGTACTGCGTGCTGGTGGATGGATTCCAGAGACCAAAGACGATGCTGCTGGCGCTCGCTGCCAGGGTTTCGACGAGCCGACAGGGACT